CTTTACAACAGACTTTAATACGAACAGATGGTGGTATATTTGTACAAGATAATAATAATTATGAATTTTTAGAATCAGAGAATGGTGTTTGGAATGCTAAGAAACGGAAAATTACTAATGTAGAAAAGGGTGAAAGTTTAAATGATGTGCCCACTTTACAACAGACTTTAATACGAAAAGATGGTAAATTTGTACAAGACGATAATAATTATGAATTTTTAGAATCAGAGAATGGTGTTTGGAATGCTAAGAAACAGAAAATTAGTAATTTGATGGAAGGTACAGATAGTAAAGATGCTGTAAATGTTTCACAAGTTCCAAAAATGGAAGTAGGCTATTGGAATTTTAATAATAAAAGGTTAGTACGTGTTAAACCTGCCATTGATGACACTGACTGTGTTACAAAAGAACAGACCATAACTTATAATAAAAAACTACATTGTTGGGATGCCAAAAATCAATTTATAAGAAATCTACCAGAGGGGGAACATTCGGATGATATTTGTCTAATGTCACAATCTATGCATTACGATGGATCAAAATTTGTATATGGAGAAAAAAAATTTAATTTGATGGAATATAATCCTGATTTATTAGTTGCTGACCCCACATCTTTGAGTGGATTTAAGTATATAGATAATAGACCATATATACCAGAAAACTATGTATTTAAAAGAATGGAAGATAATCTATTGATTGGGGCTAATGGTGATGTATTTAGAGTTACAGGAAAGGATGATGTTATAAAAAATGAATGAAATTGCATACGAACTTCATAAGCCTGCAAGAAAGAATTTCATTAGAAGGTCTTTTAAAGTATTAGGTATAAACGAAACCATACAAATAGATTTAATTGATATGCAAAACTATGCTAGAGAAAATTCTGGCAATAAATATATTTTAACTTTAATAGATACATTTTCTAAAAAAGCTTATGCTGCTCCACTAAAGAATAAGACAGGGTTAGTGGTTACAGAAGCCATTAAAACCATTCTACCAAAGGGGGTTAAAAACATTCAATCTGACAATGGAAAAGAATTTTTTAATCAATATTTTAGCAAACTAATGAAAAACTTAAATATTAATCACTATCACACTTTTTCTACAACTAAGGCTGCAATTGTGGAGAGGTTTCAGAGAACTTTAAAGAATTGGCTATATAGAGAATTTAGTGCTCAGGGAAGTTATAAATGGTTGGATTTACTTCCAAAGTTAATTCGAAAATATAATAATAAAGTGCATAGATCTATAGGAATGAAGCCTAACCAAGTAAATGTTAAGAATAGTAAATATGTACATGAGAGGTTGACTTCTAAAGTAGAGCAAGTTAAAAAGCCAAGATATAAGGTAGGTGATAGCGTAAGGATTTCCAAGTATAAACATGTTTTTAGTAAAGGTTATACTCCAAATTGGACAGGGGAACTATTTACAATAGCAGAAGTTAAGAATACAAAGCCTGTGACTTATATCTTGAAAGATGAAAATGGCAATATAATCAGGGGAGGCTTCTATACAGAGGAGTTGTTAAAGACCAAGTATAAGGACATGTATTTGGTAGAGAAGATAATTAGGAAAAAAGGTGATTCATTGTATGTCAAATGGCTTGGGTTCCCAAGTAGCCAGAACTCATGGATTTCCACTAAGGATGTCCAAGGGAGCACGTCATGAGCCGGGAGCGTGCCCGAGTTCACGCGCAAACCTCACATGGTTTTGAAAATATACATGGGAATGGATGTGGATTTGAAATTTTAATGGAGTTTGAACATTTGTATGGGCTTGTATTGGACGAGATCCGGGTCTTTAAAAAAGTGGCCAAAAAAAAGCTCACCATTTCCAGACGTGATTTTTAGTATTAAAAAAGTAGAAAATTTTTGGGGGTGTATAGGTCGAGAGCTGGGTCTTTAAAAAAAGTGGCCAAAAAAAGCTCTTCCATTTTTTTCTCATTTTTCCCCTATAAAAAGTGCCCTAAAAGTGCCTCTAAAACGCCGAAAGTGGGGTCATATTCTCCTATTATATCTACTGACATAAACAAATAACTAACTATGTAAGCAATATGACAATAGAGAGTATTCTTTAGCATAACCATGCTAAAAAATTCACACTACTATCTAGATTCAGGAGGCTCTTGATAGGCATCTCCAAACCGCATAATCGTATCTTTTTCAATAGTGTTGGCTTCATAAAGCGTATGGCACCAGTCACTAAACAATTATACAACTTAAATTGTCTGAGTATTCAATTGCCACAATAAGATCTTCCTCCGTCACGACTTCATTTGGGCTGTAGTGGTGTCGAGCCAATTGACAAAAGCCATATTTTGTAAGTTGAATAGGCTGTACATAGAAGCAGAAGCAGAATTGGCACACCGTTGTATAGCGGTTGTGGTTGTGCTGTCGTGACGTAACAGCTGTGGGTCACGTGATCACGGGTGTGACAGGTGCGGTAGTCACGTGGTATGCCATGTGACTACCGAGTACTGACTACCGCTCTGACGCATTGTCGCATTGTGACGTAAGCGAGAACAAAGGTTTCTTTCCAGTATTGTTGTAAAGTTATGTAAATAAACCAGCTGATTTTCTAAAGCACCTATCTTTTGATTAATTTATGTAATTTGTTTGTGAACCTCAAGATTATGGACGAGGTGTTTATGAGTAAAACAATATAACATGTGACTTATTTTCAGTATAGTAGCTATGTATTTCAACAGCAACAATGTAATTTCAACTCATATGATCCAGTGAATTTAGCGTGAAGGAATGCATAGGCAGCATACACCTTATTTTTATACAATAGTATACTAGGGCCTATCTGTATTGTTATAGTGACCATAGATCTAATTTGTAACAATCTCTACTCTACTGCCATAACTAATAATCCACCTGATTTGTTGCTTTGTTTCCTAATGCTGATGTAAATTTTCTTACTACACGACTATAACCTTAATTTATTATTCACGTTTTGCTTAAATTATTCGACCCATCCTGTAAGATAGGACTTGTCATCCCACTTACTGGGCTTGTCTATAAATAGTTGTGACTAAGATTATGACGTAGGCGGCGCGTCGACGGCGGCCAATCGCTTTTCATCTATTAATTGAGCAAATACCTCGCTGACTACGTCAATAAAGTTGTGTAAGAGCATTGACTATAACCACAACGGTAAGAGCTATTTAATACTCGGCCATTGACCAATGCAAAGATAGTCACATTTGGACGTCTTGACTCTTTCAGTTTTAGTAGTACGGTATAGTACATTGAGATTGTACTGTAATTGTATAAATGCAGTGTTGTTTATAACATAGCTTGGCAAAAATGATTGATATAAAATTAGTTTGAACACTTTTATCAGATTTTAATAAAAAATATGGAATTGATTGGTGGTGGATATGTCTTCAACTACAACAAAGTAAGTTGGTGGTGGAAAAAAACAATCGTACATGCGTTAAATTGACAAAAGATTTTGAAACTATTGTATATGGGAGAGGTATAAACTATAGGGGTTGGACAATGAACGTGAACACACTGGGAATAATAATAATAGACACCCACAGAGAATTACTAAGTATGTTTCCTTTGGAAAGTTTAGACGGATGGTTAAATGGGTTCTAGAAAAAAAGGACAAAAATTGCGAAATAATTGACAGAAAGCATTGACGAAAACATTGAAAATGCATTGAAAGGATGAAGGATGTCCGTCCAGTGGATTTTCAAGTTCCAAACTCTCAGATAAAACGAAAATGTTACCAAACAAAATTGTCATGTCAGAGCATTTGTAATAATTCGAATGCAACCAAACAAAGCTAAATGCTGATATCCCATTTATATTTTGAAATAGAGAGGCGCATCCTTATGATGGTGGTGTGATGTGGTGGTGCAACCATTCTCAGTATTGATGAATAAATCATGATTCACAGGACACGTGAAGGACCTTCAATAATTTTAACAGTTTTAAACTAAATTGTTTGCCGTGATCAATGACTGTCACGCGAAGCAAAAGCAATCCTAGCGTTACAATATTGTTTCCTACCACCAGAAATTAACTTATTTATTTTATTTCTCTCCAAACGGTTACACCATTAAAAAAAAAATGCATGGATACCTATAAACAAGTTTGTTTCTGATAGGTAACCTTGTAAATAACACACAGAGAATAACTTTTTAGATGAAAAGGGTTATTCAGGTTATGTTTGTTATTTTAAAGATTGTGTAATTTCTTACCGGTGTTTATTTAAAGTACCCCTGTACCGGATCTACGGCTTTGGTTGGTGAAGAAACGACAACTGTGAACTCCACTGATTTAGCGACATTCCCGTTCTAGAGCGGCAAAAAGCTATTTTGCGGCTGTTTACAGGTGTGGCAATGTGACAATTTCCACGCAGTGGTAGGAAATGGCAATTGCATAAAACTAGAGTCAGATTTTTACCATGGAAAACATGTTTGTTATTTTACCATACAATAAAACATTAAATTGGGGGAAAAAATTATAATTATTATTATCCATGAGACTTGATAACGAGATAGAAGTAATAATTAAAACTCTGCCCAATTAAATATAACGATTTTGTACATATGAATCTCCTGTAATACTATGCTTGAACAAAAGATTGTATTACATCAATTTTATGCATTGTAATTGAATTTACTTGAAACAAATTTTTTCTGCAGTGCGGTATCTTTAAAATCATTTACACGTCATAAACATCATTATCCTATTATTCTTAGTCCGATGAAAAATTTAGTTAAACAGTGCGGTGTTTAGCCTACTCTGAAAAATAATTTTATGTCTCAATATTAGTTTTATTATGCATTATTTATTTGAAACGTCAGATTTATTTTCAAAAATTCTGAATAAACATTGATTTGAATACAAAATGCAAAATGTAAGGAAATGATGTGGCATGTCTGGAAGGTGGGAGTCGCTGGTGGGTTGTTATTGATTTTGTTTGCGTCATCAGGACACGAGGTAGGACGAGAAGGACGAGACGAAGGTTGCAGTACCTCGCAAGCCTTAGCACGTGAAGGACTTGTCTTCAGTTCTGTGAAAATGATGTTTCCCCACAAGTCAGCCATGCAGATAAAAAGTGATTACAGGACTTCAAAGAGTGCTGATAATTGTTAGACTAGTGGGGGATAACTTAGGGGAAGGGATACACGTTACTATAAATAGTAGATTCTCAGAACTTGTGCCAGTGATAGTTGTTCAGCAGTGAGTCTCGGAGCTTGTCTAGAAGAGAGGGTTTTATTTTACATTTGTTGTTTTCTGGTTTATGGGTAAGTTTTAATTTAGTGGTAATTATATCTATTATTTAAAATAATAAAATTTTATATTGAAGAAAAGAAAATTATGGAAGTTGATTGCTGTTTCATGTTAAAAAAATGTAGCATGGCTACACCATATTGCATTATTATTATTACGCAATTAGAATAACTTGAGATTTGATATTTAATTCCAACTATCTTTGGTTATTGTTCAGTGAATTATTGGAACAAAAATCTTAATTTTAAATTTTAAGTTCCAAATGTTGAGTTAGGTTATGTGGCCTTAACTTCTCTTCTGGTTTTTAATTTTTGTCCATATGGAAACCTATTGTCTAGGACCAGCTTTGTAAAATGTTTTAGGATTTTAATCGCCTCTAAAACATTTTAGCCTATGGTTGGTAGGACTAGACTATGCCAAAATTTTTCAGCTTAGCCTATAGGCTATGACACTCAAACCTTTTAAAGTTGAACCAACTCAGAATGTGGCAAAAATTTTGTTGATGGAGTTACCTAACTTAAGCATAAAAAATATATTGAAACCTTATCTTACATATGGACCGTAAATTACAGTAACTTGAATTAGATTGTTTCTTTATTTATTTTTAAATAAATAAATAAATAAAGATTGTTAACAAAGAGATTGAGAGACGTTTCATTGTATTCATTGTATAGATTAAACTTAGGCCCATTCCTCTTCAGGAGTTTCGATCAGTTTTTTATTTAAGATGGGTACGTATACCTTTTAACCCAAATTTAAAGTGTGTAGGATGAGTTTACTAACTTAAGTTAGTTTGGGGTGTAGTAACTTAATATAAGTTAGGTTACCTATCACAATTAAAAATGCCCTATAAAATTTGCTCAACATTGCAACTAAGTTTCATCAGAAAACTTAACTCCCCCTCAGTTCGAACAAAAACTTGGTTTTTGCCTTAAGTGATTGGTTTGAAAAAATTATAAGACAACTGTTGTTTGATTACCTATGTAATAACTAATAAGTAGGTAGGGTACTAAGTTAATATTATGAAATAGAGGCCGATTCAAATATTTCTACCTGAGCTATTGACTTGTGGTGGTCACTTTGTAGTACACGAGTTAGCCTAAGTTGGATTCTTTTTTTTCAGAGCGAGAGAAAAACTTAATAATATCGGAACCCCCTGTGGACGCAATAAGCAGCTGCAGGGATGAGAGTGGGTACGTGCCTACGGTTGGTCGCTGGGGCAGCGAATGGCCAAGTTGACTCGCAACTCAAGCAAGGGACTGGCTGAGGGATGATGGAGGGGGTAAGTGGCCGGAGGGACACCCCCTACCACTTCCCTCATGGGGTAAAACTCGGGCGGCTTTGGCCATGCCCACCATTGAAGCTTATGAAGAGTTTGCTTTGACAGTTGAACTGACTGTGCAGCAGCTTTTGCAAGCTCACAACTACAACAGCGTTGGAAACTTAATAAGGTAATTATATGTGCCACTTTGTGTCTTTCACCCTATACTGACCAGTGGCGGATCTAGAACAGTCACCAGAGGGGGGGGGGGGGGTGAACCTGGGGGGTTCAGGGGCCCCCGAAAAATTTGTGTAAACTAAGTCTTTAGAATGGCAGTTTTATACCATTTCTTGTCCAAAGTTAGTGTCAAAAATTATTTTACACAAAGCGTATGCACTAGGTACTGTATTACATGCAGTAAAAAAATTAACATATGTATGCCCGAAGGGGGGCGGTCGCCCCTCCTCTGGATCCGCCACTGATACTGACTATTCAAAGTTAGGCCTAATTGTTTTTTAAATTTGTTTTCAAAAGACGTGGAAGAGTGAAAGAATTTCTTATTTAGTAAAATGTCTGCAAAGTAGCCTACGCCATTTGAAACGGCAAGACAGTTTAATTAGACGTCGAGTCTGGTGAAGTTGCATCTTACACAACCAATATTGAAGCTTATTTTTGTATTTAAAGTAGTATGGCATTCATAACAGTTTTCTTAACATTTTATGATCAACTTTTTCTAATATCTATATATGCGTTATTGTTACAAAATGGGGATATTAGCTACAGGAAGTTTCCAGAATAATTGACATACATTTTGCATAAAAAAAACTCTTGAGTGAAAAACTTATGAATTTGAATCCGAAACTTTTTTTAGTTTTTTTCTAAGAGGTTGGGTCTTTTAACTTTCTTGATGTTGGTCCACTACCATAAATGATGCACTTCATGTGTACCTACCCCACATTGTCACTCAAGAATTACCTTACTCCAGATTCCATGAAGAATTCAAGAACAGCAAGGAGACGAGTCTCGTCGATTTCATGCAGACCTACCAACCGCCCATCACACCAGAACATCACACTTGCGTTGGTCTCGGATTGGCCCTTCTCAACCGGCTGACAGTCCTCGACCACAGGTTCCCTGGCTTGGCGTCTCGTCTGTTCATCGTCTCGTGTGAGGAGGTGGTGGACGATTACGCCTCGTACATTCTAGAGGAGCCGAACCCAAACATCGCGGAGAAGGAACACGTCCTGGTAGCACTGAGGTTGAATGTCGCTGGTCGTAAGGGGATGTTGCTTTTGGACCCCGGTTACCATGTGGCTAGGGTCATCACTGTCATGGAGGATGAGAAATATCCACACACAGGTATGTACATTTTTATGTTACAATTGGTTAGGATAATATAGTTGGCAAAGACACAATATATAGTTGGATCTATAATCTTTAAACTGAAACAAAAATTAGACTCTGCTCTACTTTTTTATTCTGGGTGCTACTTAATATTCATGCCACCTCCTATTTATAACAACAGCCTAAGCTACTGAGGAATTTCTCATTTGTGTTGGAAACAAGTGGGGTATGTTTAGAAAATTAATTCATAATAAATCCATGTAGAGATCAATGCCTAAAATTGTAATACAACATTGTCCTTGTAAATAATATAAATTATATTTAAAGTAAAGTAGGCTAGAAAGAGAGAGATATTTAATATAACACTTATCTCAGGCAAAACCGTAGTAAAGAACAAATGAAATTTGAGAATTATACAAGAGAAGTTTCAATGTCCTTTCGATGAAAAACCTAAATAAGTAGGTCACATTAAACATATAATTGTTAAAACGGAGCTTCAAAATGAACAAACCGAAATTGCCAAAATCTATACCGCAGTGATAAATGTGGCAGGGGCAAAGAATTTAAATAGGCTAATTTTAATGTTTGTTGGATTTTTAGGATGGTTCATGCAGTCTAAAGAAGGAGACCGTCAGAAGTTTTTCAACTACACTTTCTCTGCAAGCCGACAGTATGTTGTCTGGCGACAGAAGGAGAGGAAAGGTGATGCACCGGAGACAATAACTCACAGTGTCATCTACGTGGCTCGTCCCTTCTTGTCGCCAGTGGACGTGACGGAGAGACGCAACCTGGTGTACAACTTCAGAAGTCTTCTGAGTAGAAACACCAAGGGTCATCTGACTGCGGGAATCTTCTTTCCTGTGAGAGCCAACGGGCCAGGCCAGTTCACTATCTTTTACGAGGACAACACCTCTAAAAAGAAAGTCAAAATGGACTTCAGCGACTTCTTGGGAAGTGCCAATGTAAGTCATTTTGTTTCTTACTAGAAAAGTGTATATTTTATTTCTTAAGTTTTTTGTTTTAAATTTAATTTGTTCTGAATAAAAATTTACCACAATTATTTACCAAAATGTTATTTTACCAGATTGAGTTTTTTTATTAACTTGTATTTTTTAATTTTGCCAGTAAGAGTAAAATAAACTGTTAACAGTTAGATTATCGCTTATATTGTGTTGTATTACAAATTACAATCTATGTCATTGATATTCATTTGATACAAAAACCCCATCTCCAATGTCATATTATTACAATAATTACCATTGTGACAATTTATTTAGGTCTAGGTATATCTTTACTGATAAAACCACTGCAACAATATATTTAAATATTTTACTGATAAAGTAAATAGCTTCAATTAATTGTTCATCTTTAAAGCTTGACAAAATTGTATATTTGGGAAAGCAGGTTCAGTGGATAACAAAAAATAAAGTAATAGTATGGATTTTAATTGCATCAAACTTTTTCAGAAGGTGGATGAGAGTCAGCAGCAGATAGTAGAGGAATGCAACAGACTGCTCGGTTTCCGACGTGGAGAACTGAATTCAATCCTGCACAGTCTTGCACACATTCTCTCCGACAGTGACTTTGTCTCCGAGGTTCTAACCATCAACAAGAACATCAATGAAATGGCTGAAGAAAACTGAGACGAGGCCAAGCCAAGCACAGTCTTGTTAGAAAATTTCTTCTGGCTTTGTTTGGTTTTATTTTTTGCCTTTTTTTGTTTAGCATGGACTGTATTGTTTCGTAAATCATTGTAAATTTTATCACTTACAACAATCGCTATGTATTTTAATGTTTTGACATACACTGAATTAGTGTGAGAGTTTTATAGAATCACTATCAATTATTTCAACTGTATTCTGTTATATGACAATATCTTATGATTTATAGAATTGGAAGCTGTGGGTATATTTACGGTGGTTGGAAATATAAGGAATTTAAGTGAAACGTGTGTTGTTATTTCCTTTATTGGAATTGGATGATAAGGAGGTGGTTGTTTGTTATTGTAAGGGTTACTTATACAAAGCTATAACAATAATTTATGAAGTGAAAGATAGTATTGTTCACTGGTTGAAATGTAACTAAATGTGAATGATATTCTGCATTGTTACGACCACTCTATGTGAGTAATGCTGACAACCGAATCAAACTAAACACAGATCTGGAGAAATGATTTACCGTAACACAATGTTAACTTTTTGTTTAATCTGTTAATGTTTAATAAATACTGATAAAATACATTAATTAAGGCACAATGTGGAAAACATTTAGTTTTTCCCTGAAGGAAAGTAATAAAAGTCACTGATAGATCAAGTGTGGCAGTAAACATTAAACAATAATGACATTCATGTTCATAGGCGTGGTGTGATTAGTTTTGGTTCAATTTAGCCGAGGGATTGTATAGAGACTGACTAGTCATGAATCTCATTCTGTGATTTTTGAAAAGTTCAGGGAACAACTATAGATGATATTAATAATAGCTTTTGTATAAAGTTGTGGGTTTTAACATGACAGCAATTAAAATAACATACTGCTGTAGTTATCTTTGAATAAACATGGGCTTTAAAATCCTATCATTGATTAACTAACTGAAAAAAAAATACTATGCAAAACGGCTTTGTTTGGGTAAATTAATGTATTACTGTACAAAAATACAATATTTTAAGACATTTACTGTTTTGCAATTATGAAAGTAAAAACATTGATGCAGAGCCTATAATGAATAGCGTGAGTAGTGAGTGAAACGGTCATTCTACTTAAATAATCTGCAAAAAACTAGTGTACTAGATTATTACATTTTAAAATCAGTAAAATCCACTGCTCATTACATCCCTAAGGGTTAAAAGGGGTTTGAAGGTCTTGGAATTAAATTGAAGGAGTACACGAACACAACCAAGTGACCTTAATTGAGCCTCGCTTTGCTCTATTTCCAAACTCTCAATGTTGCCAAGAAGTAAAAATAAGTAAGACAAACTAGCCATCACCGTAAAAGAGTTGGCTAATGCTGTTAGTGCCAGTGAAATATTCTATTGTTTTTTGTAACCTAGTGTAAAGTTTTGTATCTCAAACTTAAAAAAAATTAGTTGATTGAAAAATATTCATATTACCTACGTTGGCAATATCAGCCATGCAACACACAATACAACAATATTACCACACCACTAAATGACCCAACCCAAAATGTTAATCCTAGTGGCAGTTTACATTTTCAAGGGATATCAACTTTGTCCAACAGGTTGGGTTTGTTGCATTATGTTCTCCTCAAGCTCAAACTAATTATTCTAGCCAAATACAATTAGTGTTAGCCATGTGAAAATAAACTAAAATTCCAATCTTCTTGTACATGTACATATGCAACTCAGGTTGTGACTCCAGTAGAAGCCAAAAAATCTCGGATGCTGTAGTACCGGTAAACCTCATTTAACACGTTGACTAACACGTCGCTAGCACTTCAATGTGGCGCGCGCCGACAAAAGTCGGCACCAGACCAACAGAAATATATTGAGCAGTGTGAGCTTAGCCTCAGACGGAGACGTTATAATCGTTGCCAGACTGCCAGCTTAGAATGTGAGCTTTACTTTCGTGTAGGTTGGTACTAAAATTTCCCGTAAAATCCTGTCTGGCAATGCTTTTGTCCCGGTTTCGGGGATTTTTTCTCTTCAACCCACATTACAAAGACACTGGATACGGATCCGTGCAGTGCTGCTACCTTTGGGTGTTTCAGTGAACTACATCCACTCTCGGGGTAACGCAGCACAGTCACCACTGCTCTTTTGTGATTCGTCAGGCTGAAATATTTGAATGCCAATTGCGTTCGCTGATTCGGTTGCGTGTTCGCCCCGCCACTGGGGAGCGCCTGTACGTTGTTTTCAGCAGTCAACGTGTTAAGAGCAGTCTCTTAATTGCCCTCTTAAGCCTCGTTCTCACAATGCGGTAGAGCAAAACCGCGAATGTCCTTGAGCAGGGGCTAATATTAGGGATATAGGTCAACCATCTATGTACCATTTCTACTATTTAAAAGTTTAATACAATATCATGAAGTTCATGTTTGGAATCTCATTTAAATAGCTATTGAAATAGCATTAGATTTACAACAAAGTTTGGCCAAGTAGAGTAAAAACACAAATAATATATTTACATGTTTATTGAATAAAAGATAATTGAATTACAATACTTTCTCACCAAATAACACCAGCTCCATTAATAAACACTGGGTGGATGAAATCAACATCAAGCTTACGATATCTAAAATGACAAAAACACATAGATACTATATTTACAAAGGAATCAGATCTTCTTAGTAACTTAGATAGTAAAATAGTAAGAGTTTAAAAGTTTCAAAATTAGCAGACTTCAGCTCAAAATGTGGTATTTCCTTAAAAAATTACAAGCAAGGTAAGAGACAAAATGCAACAATTTTGATGGACGTTTAATTGATCCGCCTCATTAAACAAATTTGGCCCTAGAAGTAATGCAATGATAAGTTGTTGTAGTTGATCAAGTATAAAACTAAAATAAATACAATGTTAAAATGCTTATTCAATTCAATTTGTAAAGACTAGTTAGTTGTGATAATAGTTTAAAACAATAAGCAGCACTTGCTAAAACAATAAAATAAACCTTTTCTTCCTGTATGAGTATTATATATTCACAACCAAATCAAAATTATTTATGTATATATTTAACTTTCAAAAGAGCTCAAGTAGATAAAAATGTATCCGATAGTAGAAAAAAAATCATAAAATAATACATACCGGTAGCACTCAAAATTCAATCACCACTCACAAATACTGGGTAGACCCTAAACCCGTTTATACTGAATATGAACATCCTAGTTTTTCACACAGTCACACTCATTTCTACAAAGATACACAATAAAGCTTTACGAATGGTCAAAATGAAATTACCCTAAAAGAGCTTGTCGTACTCCATAAAACAGAGCAAAATATAAAAGAGTAAGGATTGATGACAATGTATGAAAAAAATACAACTAAAGTATTAAAAATCAATTACACTTTTAAATTCATTTTTCTTCATTTTCATCACTCGAGCCTTCTTCTTCTTCTACTTCTTCTTTAGAGGTCTTTGACATTTTTGGCTTCACTTCTGAATCAGAGGCGTCATCGTCGGAAGCGTCTAAATGGCGCTTAAGGGATTTCTGCGGGGAGTGGGAGCTGGTCACAGTTTCATGCCTGAAAATATGGATTTGTAATTAGTTGTATGTACTAGAATGAAATACAAACATCAGTGTTGGAAAATATTTTACCAATTGTGTAGAAAATTTCTCATAAATTAATTAAAGCATTATAACAAGGTATATAACAAGGTAATAGTACTCTTTAAAGAGGTAACAGTAAATTTAAACATTCTTTGGATGAATCATTCTCTATGCAATTTTTGCATAACCATATTCATATACAAAATACATTTTCCAAAGTTATAGCATTTACTAATTGGATACTGAAGTTGTATTAACAGTCAAAGGTTATAGTTTAAACTCTGACAACATGTTTTGCCCAACATAGGACTGTTGAGGAACGTCAAATTACATTAAGCATGCAAATGATGGTGCAGGATAGCTATTGTTTAAACATCAATGTTTCTTTAATCTTCTGTGCTATCATAAACCAAGCTTTATTAAGCTAGCGGACTGATGTAGAGCTTAGAAAATCAAATAACTTGATTGCTTGGAAAGTCCATGGAAATTCCAATATTTCAAATAACTCAGACACAACCACTTTAGTGGGTATTTTTATTGTTTTTAAAACAATGATGGTCTATTTAGAGGAGATTCATGATGGTGAATAACACAGATAGTAAGTAGAAAAGGTTTAAGTTATCTATTAGTCTGTTAGTTTAGTTAAAGGTAAGAATCATTTCATAGATTTGAAACTATCATTCTTATTTCCAAATGCACTTAATACTCCCAGAATAACATTGGGCCAAAGTGTTCTTGCAAATACTTCTACGTCGTCAATCAATCAACGATTTGGATACACATGACTGAAAAAGAAGAATCAGCTTTAAAATAGTTTGGTTTTATTTAGTTGGTAAAGAATAAATATATCTAAATGAAGCAGATTATTAATAACAATAATAACAAGGAAGATATGGTTCCAAATCTATAGATATTTAAGTAATACTTATAAACCACTGTACTAATGTAAATAACAGAGATAAAATTTAACAAGTACACATTGCACTTCGAATATGAATTATAAATGCCTGTTATAAAATTTATCGAGTAATATTCGGTTGTGTAAGAATATTCCATTAAAATGTGTTGATATTTTACTTGAAGAGATAGTTTTCTAAAAGAACCGCTAACATAAATGGTTGGTAGTGTAGTAGATTTGAACACTAATGACCTAATATGGCTTTTATGTTTAAAACATTATTTGTAAAAAATATAAACTGGAACGTTGTAAAATATTATTCTTATAATAATACAATCTAAAGTTCTTGAAGTGGATTTAATCAGTGGAATGAGTCAAACGTGTTTAATGTTCAAAGTAGCATAATTTAATCAAATAACAGCTAACACATATGAATAAAAAACACCCAAGCATTTGGTCAAAAATCTGAATTTATTAAAAAGATAAATTCAAGAAAATTGAAACATTAAATTTGAAGCACAAAGCCCGAGTCTCATTCCAAACATGGGCACATCCAAGCAGTTGTCGCGAGTTACTTACTTTTTAGGGAGTTTTTATATTATAGACTATGCAGATCTGATCAATATTTCCGCATATACCTGGAAAAAAAGTCTCAGCTCAACTCTAGCTGTTAGTCCCAGAGAGCAACTGACATGCAGCTAGATTATTGAGAAAGTGGAGAGGTTTGCGACTCATTCATTGGTTTAAAAAATAATTATCAGTTTAAAATCAATTAAGAGCAGATTTAGATTAGCCACGATTACAAACTTTTTCAAAAGTACATACAATGGT